AACTGGATTTTAAAAGCTAGAGGAGTTTTCAAAGTTTAAAATGAACAAATCTTAAATATATTTAAAAGCAGAAATCATTTCTGAATAATCCTTTCCATGTGCAAAGGCCAATCAGAGGGGCTCAAAAAAAAAAAAAAAACAAAACACCAAAAAACAAACCACCACTCGTTTGACAACTGGGCTGACCCTGAATACAGGTTTAACTGAGTATGTTTTATTCATATCCACAAGGATCCTTGACCCAGATGTTTAAGCACCTCTCCTCGTGGTGGGAGTGACTGGTACTTGTCTCTCTTCGGTGCCCCGGGTTCTAAGGAGCACCCTGGAGCATCACCCAGATGTCCCACTAGTATCCAACAGGCTGCACACTATTTTATTGGAAGGACCCTCCCAAACAAGTTCCTCCTGTAGATCCCTCTCCACCCTGCAACCCAGACCGCCAAATCCCCTCCCAAATTCCCACTACTATTGATTCCTGCAATTGCCTAGTTCTACAGATTAGTTCTAACTGACACAGCCTCAGTGCTCCAACGACCTGAAGGCTCTCTCTGCATCTTACACTCCCCTGCTCACGGAAGGACCTTCCTCAAATAGCACTTGAATGTGGTGCTCCAGAACATTCCAAGGGTCCCTGCTATTTCCATGGCACGTTTCATGCCCAGGCCATGGTGACTACCCCAGCTGTGCCAGTCACGTGGCATTGCTCCTTCCCCTCTCCGTTTTCCCCGTAGGGGGGCCGCTCTTAGCTTGGCCTTTGGGAGTCCTATTTTCCTTTCAGACTCACCACCTCCAGGAAGACTCACTTTTCCTCTGCATGACTCAAGTAGTACATACGCACACATTTCCTTTGTTAAAAATAGAAAAAAAAGGACCCAAAATGAAGACCTTCATACTGGGCCCCCTGCAGACTTAATACCTATTGCAATTTCAACCTCTCCCAAAAGTGTAATCCTAAATCAATCAATCTGGATTTTCTGAATCAGCACAAATGAGGTCACGAGTTCATCTGCAGGAGAAGACGCCCTCCCCCCTCCCACTCTGCTTACCCTTGAGGGAGGTTGCTTTGCCTGAAATCATCTCTCCTTTTGCTACTAATTTTGTTCCACCATCTTTCTGTCTAAAAACACCCTCCATTTTATATAAACCCTTGCAGTACCTACAGGGGATGCTACCTGATTCGTAAATGGTTTAATAAAGTCAATTAGAGCTCTACATTTCTGAATTTTGTTTACAGAATTCTGCTGCTTTTGTCCTCTAGCTCTCAAGTCCTCAAAACCCCTGGAAGGGCCTCCGTGGTGGCGCAAGGGGTTAAGGTGCAGCACTGTGAAGCTATCTGCAGCACCGCTGCAGCACAAGTTCGATCCCTGCCCAAGGAGGTGATCCACATGGTGCAGCAGACCTCTCCTGTCTCGCCCGCTGCTCCCCTCAGCAGTGTATTTCAGTAGATCTGCCTGTTCTGTTCCCCACTCTCTCTCTGGTGAATCCTCCCAGCCCCCGCACCTCTGGTGTGCACCCCAGCTCTTGTATACATAAATAAAGATAAATAAATCTTAAAAAAAAAAACCACAAACTCCCTGGAAGATACATATTGTTTCTTTTGAATTCTGTGAAGGGAGGCCTTGTTTCCATTCACTTATTAAGCACCAACTGTTTGCCAGGCACTGTTCTAGGTATTGGGGAGCATGAGAGAAAGAAGGTTCCTGCCATTTCAGAGGAGCTGGAGAGGAGAAGGACACCAAACAGATCAATAAAAACATAACATACAGGTGTCCCCAGTGGCACAGAGGGCTGAGCGCAGCACTGTGAAGCTATCCGCAGCCTCTGCAGAGCGGGTTTGATTCCCGGCTGGCCAGGGAGATACCCACATGGCGTGGAAGACCTCTCCTGTCTCGCCCACTGCTCCCCTCAGCAGTGCTTTCAGTCCATCTGCCTGTTCTGCTCCCTGCTCTGTCTCTGGTGAATCCTCTCACCCTCTCACATCTCTGGCCTGTACCCAGGTCTTGTATAAATAAATAAAATCTTGAAAAAAAAACTCTTAAAAAAAAACGTAACACATGTGCTGGCAGTGACACATGCCTCAGGAGACTAAAACAGAGTTATAGGATAAAGAGGGACAGTTTGGGGGAAGCTAATATAGATTAGGGTAGTGGGAAAGTCCTTTCTGACATGGCAACTGTTATTTATTTAATTTTTGTTTTTTATACAAGCACTGGGTACAGTCAGAAGCGCGGGGGGGGCGGTGAGAGAATTCACCAGAGCCAGAGCGGGGAGCAGAGCAGGCAGAAGGACTGAAGTACACTGCTGAGGGGAGCAGCGGGCGGCAGGAGAGGTCTGCGCGCCATGTGGGACCCTCCTCCGGTGGCCGGGGAGCAGCTGGGGATCGAACCGGCACTGCAGAGGCTGCGGGCAGCATCGCAACCCAGTGCTCAACTCCTGTGCCACCGGGGAGGCCCCTGACATGGCAACTTTTGGGGTAACACCTGACTCCACATCAGACCGAGTCAAGGCAGGGATGCATGAAATGAGAGAAATAAGAGCAGGGAGAAAATCAAGAGCTTTGTGAGATCCCCAAAATGAGTTGCATAAATCTCTGTCAGGTGGCAAAGCACTCTCTCAGTACTTGCTGGAGCCTTGCTACTAGCTATCCCAGACCTATAAAGCTCTAAAGTGCATATAAAAATAGGCATCAAAAAAAAAAACAGGTATCAAATCAATAGCAAACTCACTCTGGAATCTCCTAATTGCTGGCTAAGAGTCTCAAATAAGTCGTCCTTCCCAGAAAAAAAGAATGCATCCATTTTCCACAGATATGATGCCAGTGAAATCTAGAAGTGGACTGGGGGTGATGCTCACCCTGGCCTCTGCAGTCTTGTCGCAGACATCACTCCCAACAATTTGTGACGGTGGCAAAGTTAATTCTAGATGAAGATGGGAAGTCATAGAGAGTGGCCCCAGCAAGCTGCTGAAGAAGCATCCTTTGCTGCCTCCACCCTCCCGCCTCCGCGAGGTCCTCCACCCCAGAGCCCAGTGAAGCCAATGAAGGCCTGTGTCTGCAGCCTCAATATGAAATGGGCTTCTGGAAGCATTTCCTGACAAAGTGGATCCTCTCCCGCTGATGCTAAGAGAAAATGCTTTCTTGACTCCTAAAATGGCCTGGAGCCTAGAAACCTTTCCCTCACCATCTCTCCTCTCAGAGGAAAGCCACTTCTTGGGTTTCCTCCAACAAACCCAGTCCACTCTTTCTTTTACTTCCACAGCTCCTCTCACTGCTGGCCTACCCCAAGCTAAGGAGGAGCAGGAGGCCTTCCCCGCCCAACTCAAAGGAGAGGAGAGGCTGGCCCCCCTGTCTCCAAGTCCTACCTGAGGCAGCTCCAGCTTTTCCTTGCTATGTCCTGCCCAAACCCGTGCTAAACCCGTGCTCATAGCAGCAGGTGAGGGGCAACTCGCCAGCACGGATCCTCTCATTCAAATTGCGTTATTTTGTTCATCATGAATTTTTCTGCATTCTTTTTATTTTTTAAATACTGCATTAAAATATGAATTGTCTTGCTACTGTGTGTTCTGTCACTCCCTTACATTTTTTTTCCTCAGGAAAGTGCCTCATTCACTCCACCCTAGCGTGGGACCTTCTGGCTTGCCCTGGCTGAACTGGAAGGCTTTCCGCTTTAACACCACAATAGCCCTAGAAAAATCGGGAAGAGCTGGTCACCCTTGGGGTGACCAGGACACCAACGCCAGACTTAGCTGCTGGAGGACAAGTTCCCTGTGCCCCTCCTCAGCTATGCATCAGGCTGGGAGCAGCAACCACCTCAGAGGGCAGCAGTTGTGAGGTTACTGGTAATGAGCGTGGTGCAGCGCCTGGTACACAGTTAGTGCTTCAAAACCTTAATTGTGGCGGGGGTTTGAGTATCTGCCAGGTGCCAGACCCTGTGCCAGGAGGAGGGCCTCAGTAGTACTGTTAGGGGAAAAAGGCTGTCCTAAAGCTAATTCCATACAGGCTTTGTGGACTCCACCCCCACCCCAGGCCAAAGCCAAAGACACTGGGAACTCCAAATCCCATCCCCGCCAAAGGGAAGGTGGCTGGGACCTGAGGGTGGGGTTCAGCAGCCAGGTTGGTATAAAGCCAGACACGTAGGCTTTGGGGGGGGGTCCCCCATTTTGGCTCTCCGCCAGCTCACAGCGTCCGGCCAGCTCTGAGAATGCCTTTGGGTTTCCAGGTCGGTGGATCGGGTAGGACGCATTAAAGACTTTATTTCCCTATTTTCTCCCTGAGTTGTACATTTTCCTTCTTTCCTTTTCCCTTGTAAATAAACCTTTTATTAACCTTTTGTGTGTGTCTGTAGTGGAGTATTCATAAGTCCCTTGTAAGCGCGCGGGTGAGGACCCACAGCCAGGAACCCGTTCAAAATCGGGGCTGCCCTATAACAGTACTTCCGACAGACACAGCCTCGCCCTTGAGGAGCTTGTGTGCTCTGCCAAAGTCACACCAGGAACAGATAAGTGATAACAGCAACTATTTGGCAAAGCCTACTCCTGAAAATGTGCCCCGAACTCCTGTTATCTCGTGTCACCCTCTCAACCAGCTTGCAAGGAGATACTTTCCTCCCATTTTGCAGATGGGACCACTCTGTGAGAGCCTGGAGCTTGCCTCCCCCCAAAGCAGCCAGAGATTCAGGGTCAGACACCTGCCCTCAGAGCTGATCTTACTTCTGGAAGGGGCTGGTGCAGCTAGAACTCAGAAGGAATAAACTGCTAAGAGTTAATCTGACCCATCACCAACAGCTGTGTTGGTCACACAGTTTCCCCCAAGAGGAAGTTTAACCAAAAAGTCACCAGCGACTGCTGGCTGCTTTCAGCTGATGGAGGCTGCCGCCTGGGGAATTGGGGCGAAAGGGACTTTTTACTGCATAACCTTTTGAACTCTGACCGGTCCCATGCCATTTGCCTATCTGAAAATAAATGCTAACATTCAAGTCACAAATGTAAAAAGAAAGACTTACGAATTAGCCTCAGGAGAACTCGGGCAGATTAGCCCCTAAACGCAGTCAGTTTCTGCAAAATCTTGGTGAGGCCCCGGGCCGGTGTTCGCTGGCTGGCAAGGGAGCCAGACTCTCCAGGGTTAATTCAGTCCTTGGACTTGCACTCGCCTCCTGGGATATGTGACTTTCTGCTACCCACACAGTCCAGGGCCCCAGCCCTGCAAGGCGCTCCTCCGGTGCCCAATGGTCCAGACCCAAGCTCTACAGGACACTTCTGGGAGAATGAGGAATAGCAGCGGGCCTGACCACTCTTTCAGTTCACTGGAGGGGAAAAAAGAGGATTAAGTGCAGAATCCAAGGTCACACTAACCCCACAGCCCTTTGAGGGAAGCTCACCTCCGTCCTTCTGGTTGGGCCAGTAACTCAAGAATTAAGAATTGTTCTAAAAATAAAACAGGGGAGATGCTACCATGGGGTGAGGCGAGGCTCGCTCCAGGGAAGGATCCAGAGGCCAAAGTGCAGCTCCGGGCTCTTATCTGCACCCCGGGGCGTTGGGTGAGGCGCTGGGTGTCTGAACCTTTGAATCTGTGAAATGGGGAGTTGGGCTGATGTCCCCTCGGGCGCCTCCTGAACGCTACCATCTTGATTCTGGGCTCGGCCTCCAACTCTCCCCGACCTGGCTGGATCCAGTCTGTGACCCGAAGAGCTGGAGCCGCATGCAGGCTCTTCCCGCAGAGCAGGGCCCCCAATTCTGTGCGTGCTGCCTCCTGCTCACGACACCCTCTTCCTTCAACATCTCAGTCCAAGATATTCACGCCCGCCTGTGGCCTCTCCGCCCCGAGGGTCTCGTTGTCATCCGCCCTGCGGAGCCACGAGCCTCTAGGATGGTCGATACTGAGGGTGAACCCCGATAGGCCAGGGCCCCCGAGCTTTGAAACTGGAGACCTCAGAACTTGGAGTCGCTACTGAAGGGCAGCCGAGCTCAGACCCCGACTTAAAAACCCACAGCCTGGGCGCACACGCGAGGAGAGACCCGACCTGCCCTGCAAAGTGCCCCCTCCCCTCGTCCGCGTTGCTAGTGTCCACAGTGTCTCCGCCCCCCTGGTCTCAACTGATTGGACCAGAAGTAGGCACCTGACCTGAGCTGGGCCAATCACGTCCTTGCCTAGGAAGTTGAAATGGTCCTCTCGGACCCTGGCAGGTCAAGAAAGTCTGAGGCTGGGCCTCCCTGGTGGGAGAGGGATTAAGACGCAACCTATGAAGCTGTCTGCAGCTGCTGCAGCACGAGTTCAATCCCTGGCTGGGGAGATACCCACATGGTGCGGCAGACCTCTCCTGTCTCCCCACTGCTCCGCTCAGCAGTGTATTTCACTCAGTCTGCCTGCTCTGCTCCCCAGTCTGTCTCTGGTGAATCCTCTCACCCCCCCCCCCACCTGTGGCCTGTACCCCAGTTCTTGTATGCATAAATAAATCTTAAAAAAAAAAAGAAAAGAAAGTCTCAGTGCTATCAAGCTCTCACCAGCCACTGCAGCATGAGTTTAATACCCAGCCAGGGAGCAACCCACATGGCACAGCAGACCTCTCCTGTCTCACCTGCTGCTCCCCTCAGCAGTGTATTTCAGTCAGTCTGCCTGTTCTGCTCCCCACTCTGTCTCTGGTGAATCCTCTCACACACACACCGCCCACACACCTCTGGATTGTACCCCAGTGCTTCTATGCATAAATAAATCTTTAAAAAAAAAAAAGAAAGAAAAGAAAGTCTCAGGCTGTGGCCAGCCATGATCTGCAGAGAGGAAGAAAGAGTTCAGGGAATGGGAGAGACGGATGAAGCGGAAATACAAAGACTAAAAAGGCATTAAATCACTGTGTATATTTTTTTACTGGGAAAGTCACCATCAGGTGGTGACCTAGCTCTGATAGAACTCAACAATAGAAAGAACATTGCTCAGAACCTTCCCCCAGCAAAAATAGGCGAGTAGCAATGAACAGCATTACTGTTTTATTTTTTCTGTTTTTGTATTTTCAGAGGTACTTGTGTTTAATAGTAAGTGATAACGAGTTTCCATGTGAGCAGTAATAACATTTTTCATTTCAAATAAATTCTAGACAAAACCCAACTGATTATATGTTAAGAATAAATTCTCCACAAATAATAGCAACATAGTTTGTCTTTAAGGCAAAGATCGTGATGATAGTATGCAAAGAGTAAGAGAATGGAAAACACCGGATGAGGTGATTTCATAGAAATTGCGAATTCTGTTATTTTCCTTCACTGTCTTGTTTTTTCGTTCCAGCATTGAGCACATACTAGTTTCCAGGCAGTGTCCTAAGTATTCTCTCACCTAATGTCTTATTTAATTGCCAACACAGAGAGGAAGACAGGAGCCACTTCTGTCCCATTCATTGCTGTATCCCCAGTATGGAGTACAGGACAAGGGCAGGCCAAACTTTGCCTTTGAATGATACATGCCTATTTTGGGAGTCAAGGTTTGACATATGAAGGAATAAATATTCAAACCCATGGTGCAGGCCATTAGAAGAACTCATTGGAATCAAGGGACATTTATTTACTTTCTCTACTTCCCTGGACGGTATTAAATTTTGTTGTTGTTTTTGTAGGGAAGATTTTTGTTATTCAATTGAGAGTAATTTCTTCTTGACTCATGGGTGAGCTGCCCTCTTGCCTTCTCTGTATCATCCATCCATCCATCCATCCATCCATCCATCCATCCATCCAATAAAGAAACTTTGAGTAAAACAAAACAGGAAACCTATATCTTTCTCTTGATAGGACTTGGTTGGCATTTGCAAAGCAATTGATTGATTTCTACCAATTTCCAAGCTCTGGGGAGAGGTGGAACTGGGCTACCACTGCCCTTTTTTCCACTTCTAGGAACAGTTCTAGTTACCCTACGACCCTGAAGAAACTGTGAGGCCCCAACCCTTATCATTAAGTGTTTGGAATTTGTAATTGGATATTGAATTGGATTCTTAACTTTCCCATTGCCTAGCTCTGACTTCCTAGGCCTCAGATTCCTTATCTAAGATCCAGGAACTATAATAACATAAAAGAGGATCAAATAAACATGCACACCTTATTAGAAGAGAACCTGGCACATAGTCAGTGTTTGACACATTTTAGCCTTCGCTACTGCTCTTTATATCTGGAATGACAGGCTTGTGGCAAAAAACTAAAACCACTTCTTTTCAAAGTCACATTCACTTTGTCTGGAACTTAGGATTTAAGAATGTTCCAGACTGGTTAATAGGTTTCAAAATAAGATTATGGAATTATGGGGTAAAAAATAATAGCAGAACTGCCTATGGTCACTTTCTCACCTGAAGGCAAACCTTCAAGATGGGGTCTGAATGCTCTGTCTTAGAAAAGACTGCTTCTGAGTTTGTTAAACACTGCTGATTGGTTCCTGCTCTACCAGGTGAATTGCTCAGCGATGGAAGTCCTTAGTTTGGTATGCAAGACCCCATTTAAACTGAACTGACCTACCTTTTCATCTCTGCCTCCTTCTATGACCCTTCTGGAAACTTCCACCACCGACAGACTGGTTTACATTCTTGCTGCTAAATGTCACACAGGGACCTGCCCCTATATTTTTGCTCATGCTTTTCCCCAAGCCCTCCCATACATGCATTCCTTTGTACCTCAATAAATTATAACACCCACCAAGCTCCATATCCCACCATACCTCCTCCTTAGATCCTGACATGACCTTCTCAATGTACAGAGATCCCTCCATCCCCAGAATTCCTAGCTCATTTTTAGTCTACCTAATTAACTTGGAAATTCAACAGAAAGGACATTATGATGACTGTGATGGTTAATTTTATGTGTCAACTTGACTAAGGAATGCCCACATAGCTGGTAAAAGATTACTTCTTGGTGTGTCTCCAGGAGAGATTAGCATTTGGACCAACAGACTGAGCAGACATCACCTTCACAGACTGGGCATCATTCAGTCTGCTGAATGGAAAAGGGTAAGAAGGTGAATTTGTTCTCTGCTTAAGCTGAGATACCCATTTTTCTCTTACCCTTGTATATCAGCATTCCTGGTTCTGATTCAGATGGGGCCTTACACCATCCATTCTCCTAGTTCTCAGCATTTTAGACTCAGCCTGAATGGCACCACTTACAGACACATATCTAGCTACAGACACATGTGTTCTATTGGTTCTGTTTCTCTGGAGTATTCTGACTAATACATGGCCTCAAACAGGTTTCATCTAATTTCCTCATGTACACTGTAGCTCCTTGGTGACACAGAATCCTTTTAATTCTGTAAAATCTCCCATAGGGCTCCAAAATCATTCCCTTTTTTTCTTGAGATAATTAACATCAGTTTCTTTTGCTTGCATCCAGAATACCCCTCACGTATCCTCCATGAACTAGGGGTGGGAAAACATTGTGAATTAAGTTAAATAAATGTCACTAAGTAAATGTTAAAACTCACATATGCAGCCAAGAGACTGCCTTACTTCTCAAGCATGACCTATTTATTTGCATTTTATATTCATCTCACCCAAGCTCAATTATCCAAGTCCATCAAAATGAAAAGTGAATCATAGGAGAATGGTGATTGTAGGTCTTGGATGATAGAAAAAGAAAAGAGCTGATAGCTTGACCAATATGAAGAAAAAGAAACTATAAAATACAGAGCCAAAACTTCAATAAATGCAATGGTTTCTGTAGAGACAAAAATCATTCACTCAATAGAACTGGATGATAGCTCAGTATAATAACCAGCTTTCATAATGATACCCTGTATCTTTTACCTACAAAAGGCATAAAATCAAATAATTCATTTTAACAAAATTTCTGACCCAATATCTAAAAATATTTTTTTTAAGTCTGAAGTTTGGCCGAATGTTCACACCCAGTGCATCATACATTCATTCAAGAAATAGGTATTGAGCACCTGCCTAGGCTAGGCAGGCACTTTCTAGTTGGTGAGGATAAAAGGTGAACAAGACAGACAGAACATATTCCACAGAGTTTATATTCTAGGTGCAGAAGAGACCGTAAGGAAGGAAATACTTAACAATATTAGGTAATAAAAGTACCAAAACATATATGGAAGTATATCAAAATGATACATCACAATGGTGGGGTAGATAGTGCTGGCGGTGGGGATATTTATATTGGGGGCCATGAAAGTTCTTGCTGAGGAACAGAAATTGATGTCCATCCCGTCCCCCCTTCCTGCATTTGCATCCACTTTCCTGGTGCCCAGAATTACCCCCTTTCCAGCTGGAAGACTCCTTGACTCAGAGAGTCACTGACCAGCTTTCCAGAACAGAAGTCAACAAAATAACTACATTCCTTTGCTGAAAATACATTTCAGTAAACTCAAGAGCCCCAGTTTCTAGATGTTTCTAGCCCCAATTTCTAGAAGCTTTTGTAATACCTCAATGAACACGTCCTGCCGTCAATCTGCAGGCTGTCCGAGTCAGACCCAGGGAATATGTCAGAGGTGGGCTTGAGGCTGTCAAGGGAGAAGGCCCTCCTGTTCCCCCGGTTTAGCAATTAAGACTGTACACTCACACCCAGGAGTTGGTAATCAAACAATCACCATCACTAATGCAGTAGGAGGTGCCATTTTATCCCTGATGTGTCTACACCCAGTCATCCAGAAGTTACCTCGGGCAGAGGCTTTTCATGGCCTGACACTTTGACACAGAGCCTGCGACAAGCAGCCTCTCTCCAAATTCCTCCAGAGCCGGCAACTGCCCCACCCTGACTCCAAAGTCCACCCTGTGACTCCATTCAGGCCTTCCAACAGCCACCCTTCATGGGAGGCTACTTTATCCATCTGGACTTCTGGCATCTTCCCCTGAAGACTGGTTAAAAAAGACACTTCCACCTGCTTCCAACAAAATGGAGCAAATTCCAGTTTCACTTCACATGCCTCAGGCATGTGAGTAATCCCATTTAAGAAGACGCTTGATTAAGTTTTTAGAAGCCAACTTAGTTTGGTCATCCCATAGGGCATGGTCCAGCATGAGATGGAAACATTCTCCCTAATCAAATACTGCTCTA